CTCTCCCCCCCCCCCCACCCGCCCTGCTTCCAGCTTTCAGCCCCACCCAGCTCACCCTGGGTCCTTCCCTGCCCTCTCAGCGTTGCCCCCCCCCGCTTCAGGTAGACCTTATTTCCACAACCGCCGCTGGGCAGCAGAGAGCAGCAGGCTGGGTGGCTGGGTGGGTGGGTTCCTTCTTGTGTGTGACCCCTGCCCCCCCCCTTCCTTTTTGTAGATGTTCCATCTCATTTTATGCAAAGATTAAAATACAAAATCCGAAAGGAAAAAAAAAAATTCAAACACAAGCAAAAACATTCAAAAGGGAATTTAAAAAACAACCACAACACAAAAACGGATGTTGCAAAGATATTTTACAAGAGAGACCTACGAACTTTGGAAACCAGATGCAATTATTGGGAAAGATCCCCAGCGAAAAAGCTAAAGAAATATTTCACTAGGAAGAACCGAACACCTTGGACCGGGAGATAAGGTTCGGGAGTGATTTGTGGTCAATGAGAAACTGCACTGCGGACTTTCTGTCAGGAAACTGCAGTGACAGAAGATTAAAGGAGCTCTTTGAACTTTTAACTCTGCTGTGGTTTAACCTGTTAACTATTTTTTATTTCATACTGTGTATGTAACAGCACGTGCACAATTATTCGGCAAGGGGGTATTTTCGCCATATCACCATTTTTTATGCGTATGTTCCACCTCCAAAGCTGTATAAACGTGAATGCTTAGTTGGCAGAAGCAGATCAGAAGCAGATCAGGTGAGGTGTATTTGTGTAGTAAGGGAGGGTGTGACCTAAGGAGATCAACCCCCTAGTATGTATCAAGGTATACCTAATTCTTAGGCAGCTGCTTCTCCTCAGGCAAAACGGGCCAAAAAAGAGATTTAAGTCACTCCGAAAGTCAAACATTGTAAAAAGCCTTTCAGAGGGATGCAGCGCTCTTGAAATTGCTAAGATATTGGGGTGTGATCACAGAACCATCCAACATTTTGTTGCAAATAATCAACAGGGTCGCAAGAAACGTGTTGAGGAAAAAAGTTGCACATTAACTGCCAAAGATTCATGAAGAATCAAACGTGAAGCTACCAGGAACCCATTATCCTCCAGTGGTGTCGTATTCCAGAACTGCAACCTACCTGGAGTGCCCAGAAGTACCAGGTGTTCAGCGCTCAGAGCCACGGCCAAGTTAAGGAAGGCCGAAACCCGGCCACCATGGAACAAGACACATAAGTTGAAACGGCAAGATTGAGCCAAGAAATATCTAAAAACAGAGTTGTCAAAGGTTTTATCCACTTTCATGCCCCTGTCGGAATCTGATTCGGAGTGGGAGGCCTAGCAGTTGACACAAGGAGCGGGAGTGTAGCTCCGTTGGCTGTGGAAGAAACTGGGGAAGGGCAAAGTCCAGCTGGGCAGAGTAGGGGAGAGGTAGAGCAAGGGAGAAGGAGTTCAGAGGAAGACCCAGGCCCTCTCCCTCTTCATCCTAGGGCACACAGGGAGGAATGGAGAAGGGAGCAATGTGGGTTGGGTGGCTTATGGGGGAGGAAAGGGCCCTGATTCCCTTCATTAGCTGCAGCTGGGAACATAGTGTTTAAAAAGGGAAGCTGTGCACAGCAACTTGTTGGAAGCAAATCATGAATTTATCTGGTCTCCTTGTGGCTCATCTGGGTTCCCGGCATCTTCCCAGCTGTGTAAGTTTTGCCACCCTTTCAAGCCTGCAATTCCTTCTTCTGCCCTGTCAAACTAATTATTTCAGTTTGGTTTCTGTGGATTTTTAGTTAGTCTGTACGTATCTTGATTTGAACAATTGTGCGCACAGCATCGTAATACATGACAGGCCACTTGGGTCAAATACAGGCAGTGCTCAACTGACAACCATTCACTTAGTGACGAAGGTTAGAACAGCACAGAATGACCGCTGCAGCCTTCCCCGGAGTCACGTGGTCAAAAGTTCAGAGGCAGCTGGCGTGGACTTAGGACGGTGGGCATGTCCCGGGCGGGTGGGTGTGTCACGCGACCCCCTTTTGGTGACCGCCTGATGAACAGAGTTCACAGGGAAGCCAGGTTCACTTAACAACCGTGTCACTAACTCAACAACTGCGGTGATTCACTTAACAACGGTGGCAAGGAAGGTGGCAATATAGGGCCAAACTCACTTTAACAACTGTCTCGCTTAGCAACGGAAGTTCTGGTCTGAATTGTGGCAGCGAGTCAAGGACTGCTTGACGATGTACAAACGTATAAATTACGGTCGTGCTTGCGGGGGGGGCGGGGGGCAGGCTTTTACGGCTGCAATGGATTTGCCTGGCTTCAACTGGCGGGGGGGGAGATAAGGGTGTCTTTTTGTCCCCTGGTGGCCCCCCTTCCTGGAGGTCAGAGGCCGTGGGGCCCAGTTGCCACGAAGACGGCATTCTGTTGCTTGGGGTTGCCCGGCTGGTTGACGGGCAGTGGGCGGCCTTTGGTGCCAGCGCAAGTGCCCAAGAGACACGGAGGAGCCTCTGTTGGCGCAAAGGCTGCCTTCGCGCTCTTTCTGCACCTCGCCCGGCGGCCATTCGCAGGTGGGCGCCTGCCTGAGAGGGGGCAGACCCCCAGGCCCAGGCTGCGGGCCCTCTGTGGGTCCCCCAGATCAGAGGCAAAGGCGGCCAACTGCTTTACCCTGCTTTTGGGGAGGAGGGGGGTTCCCTGGATAGCTTCAGGGCAGGGTTGACCTGCTGGGTGGTCTTTCCTGGGGTGTGCCAAGGGGCTCAGGAGGGTCCACATGCCCTCCCCCCGCCAAGGGCTGCCCCTTGTCCTGCTGATCTGAGGGAGGTGGGTCCTTTCCTTGCCCTGGCGGGGTTGCCCTTCCCTCTCTTCTCATATCTTCCTTCCTTCCTTCCTTCCTTCCTTCCTTCCTTCCTTCCTTCCTTCCTTCCTTCCTTCCCTTCCCTTCCCTTCCCTTCCCTTCCCTTCCTCCCTTTTGTTTTTTCCTTTTTTTCCTTTTATATTCTTTCCCTTCCCTTCCCTTCCTTTTCCTCTGTCCCTCCCTCCCTTCTCTTTTCTTCTTTCCTTCTTTTTCCTTTTTTTAATTCCTTCCCTTCCTTTTCCTCCCTCCCTCCCTCCCGTAATTCCAGCACAGAACCCCTGGGGACAATGCTTCTCAAGTCCATTTTGAGGGGACCCCTGGCCCTCTGGTACTGCTCCCTTGTCAATTCGGAGGAGTATCTGCATGAGCAACTCCAGGAAAACAAATACTTCCCCTTCCAGGTGCAGCAGCCCAAAGGTAAGCTGTTTTCTGGGGAGGGGGGCAGAGTGGGGGGTTGGGGAAGCCCCTCCCCCAAGCCTTTCCAGGTCCTGCATACAGAATGGGGTGAAGAGCAGCTTGGCCAGGCAACCAAACACAGATTGCGGGGTGAGGTGGATGGATACACCTGGATGGAGCCTCAACGGGTTCTGCAGTTGGTTCAGTTGCCTTTGGAAGAGGCGCCTTTGGCTTACAGCTCAATGCCTCCTCGGGTGCCTCCAGAAAATGGGCTCATTTAGTAACCAAGTGCAGTTGTTCCTGCAGCTGGTTGTGGTTTGGAGAAACAAACCAGCAAGGACATCCCATGTTTTGGTGCTAGCACAGGTGAGCCCATCCAAATGGAGAGCCAGAAAGGGCAGTGGACGAAAGAGCCCCCAGGGAAGGAGCCCCCAGGGTGCAGCTGGACTTTCTTTGTTTCTCCCTGAGGTTGTTTTCCTTTTCACCCCGGGAGCTTCTTCAGTTCTGACAGAATGCAATAGACTAATAGAATAGAATAGAAATAGAATAGAATAAGGGATAAGATAGAATAGATAGAATAGAAATAGAATAGAATAGAAAATAGAATAGAATAGAATAAGGGATAAGATAGAATAGATAGAATAGAAATAGAAGAGAAGAGAAAATAGAATAGAATAGAATAGAATAGAATAGAATAGAATAGAATAGAATAGAACAGAACAGAACAAATATTGGAATGAAGAATAGAATAGAATAAGGGATAAGATAGAATAGAATAGAATAGAATAGAACAAAACAGAACAGAACAGAACAGAACAGAACAGAACAGAATAGAATAGAATAGAATAGAATAGAATAGAATAGAATAGAATTCTTTATTGGCCAAGTGTGATGGGACACACAAGGAATTTGTCTTGGTGCAAATCTTCTCAGTGTACATAAGGAAAAAAATACATCAAGAATCATAAGATCAATCTTATCATACTAGGAAACAAATAAAACAATATAAACTGTAAAGATACAAGCAACACAGTTATAGTCATAGGTGGGAAGAGACAGGTACTAGGAAGGATTAGAGGAATAATAGTAACACAATCTTAGTAAGTACGTTGACAGTGTTGTGGGAATTCGTTGTATAGCAGAGTGATGGCATGGGGGAAAATGTCCTTGTGTATAGTTGTTGTGGGGTGCAGGGCTCTATAGCATCATTTTGAGGGAAGGAGTTAAAACAGTTCCGGTCCGGGATGTGTGAGGGGTCTGTAGATATTTTCACAGCCCCCTTTTTGACTCATGCAGGATACAGGTCCTCCATGGAAGGCAGGTGGGTAGTAATTGTTTTTTCTGCAGTCCTAATTACTCTCTGGAGTCTGTGTCTGTCCTGTTGGGTTGCAGAACCAAACCAGACAGTTATATAGGTGCAGATGACAGACTCCATCATTCCTCTGTAGAACTGGATCAGCAGCTCCTTTTGGGCAGTTTGAGCTTCCTAAGTTGGCGCAGAAAGAACCTTCTTTGTTCTGCTTTTTTGATGATGTTTTTGATGTTAGGTGTCCATTTTAGGTTTTGTGATATAGTAGAACCTAGAAATTTGAAGGTCTCTCCTGTTGATACTGTGTTGTCTAGTATTGTAAGAGGTGGTAGTATGGGAGGGTTTCTTCTAAAGTCTACCACCATTTCTACAGTTTTGAGTGTGTTCGGTTCCAGATTGTTCTGGTTACACCATGAGGCAAGTTGTACAACCTCCTGTCTGTATGTGGCTTCGTTGTTGTCTCGAATGAGACCAATCACTGTTGTGTCATCAGCAAACTTCAATATTTTAACAGATGGATCGTTTGAGATGCAGTCACTGGTATATAGGGAGAAGAGAAGTGGAGATAGCACACAGCCGGGGGGGGGAGGGGGGGCTGTGCTGATTGTACAGGGATCAGGTGTGATTCCGCCTAGCTTCACCTGCTGCTTCCTGTCTGTTAGGAAGCTTATGATCCATTTACAAGTGTGGTCAAGTACCGCTACCTGGTTTAGTTTAGTTAGAAGAATGTCTGGAATGATGCTGTTGAATGCTAAGCAAAGGGGACCCTTGCACAGGTCTTTGGAGATTCAAGGTGTTGTAGGATGTAATGCAGAGCCATATTAACAGCATCATCTGTCGATCTATTTGCTCGGTATGCAAACTGCACGGGATCTAACAGCGGATCCGTGATGGTTTTCAGGTGGGACAGCACAAGCCTTCCAAAGGTTTTCATAACTACAGATGTTAGAGCAACTGGTCTGTAGTCATCCAGTCCCTTGATGGGGGGGGGCTTCTCTGGCACTGGGATGATGGTAGAGCGTTTGAAGCAGGAAGGAACATAGCGCATCTCTAGGGATCTATTGAAGGTTCGGGTGAAGATGGGGGCCAATTGGTCAGCACAGACTTTTAAGCAAGAAGGAGTTATCTTGTCTGGCCCTGGTGCCTTTTCCTGGCTTCTGTCTGTGAAATAGATCTTGCACTTCTTTTTCTGTGATCACCAGAGGTGGTGAACCCAATGGGTTGGGGCCAGTTGGAGGAGGCTTGGCTGTTGTTGGTGCGTTTGAGATGTGAGTTGTGGAGATAGGTGGCTGAAGTTTCCTTTCAAACCTGCAGTAAAACACATTCAGGTCGTCTGCTAGTTGTTGATTTCCTTCTGCCTGGGAAGGAGGTTTGCTGTAACCGATGATGTTTTTCAGAGTTTTCCACATGTTTGCTGGTTCATTTGTTGAGAATTAATTCTTTAACTTTTCAGAGTAGTTTCTTTTTGCTGCTCTGATCTCTCCTGTTAATATGTTTCTGGCCTGGTTGTATCGCATTCTGTCCCCTTTTCTGTAGGCTTCCTCTTTGGAACGACGTAGCTGCTTAAGTTTAGCTGTGAACCAAGGTTTATTGTTACTATATATTCTCAGGTTCCTGGTTGGCACACCTGGGTCTTCACAAAAACTGACATATGATGTTCCAGTATCTGTGAGCTCATCCAAGTCTGCAGAGGTGTCTTCGAACACCTGATGATGGGGGAATGGAAGGATTTATACTCCTTGCAGTCATCTGGTCGTTAGCAGTCTTTCTGAGAGTACTCCTTACACCCACACCCCGATACAGTCAGAACTGGAGAAGCTTCTTGGATAAGAAGGGAAACATCTTCCAAGAAAAACCAAGACAGTCCAGTTGCCTTTTGGAAAAAGCTCCTTTGGGACAACCATGACCTGGAGGATGGAGCGTCTCTGTGGATATTTAGGGAAGCAGGCCGTGGTCAGCGGCCGGGGTGTGGTGCTGATCTCCAGCACGGATAGTGGCCCAGTCCTCTGGCTCAGAGGTGCACACGGCAGAGCCACAGGGAGGCTTCTTGGGAAGCCCACAGAGGCTGGGTGGGCATCGGCTGAGAAGGTCCCGTGGGCTTCTCGGTCTGCTCACAGCAGGTGTGGGACTCTGTGGCCTCTCTGGCTCTCCGTGGCTCCTTGAGGCAGCTGGCCATGGTGGGTCACCACCAAGGAAAGAAAGCATTCCAGATCAGGAGATCGACCACTTGCACAGAAGAGGGGTGGGGGCGTTTTAATGTTGTGAATGTCGACTCATAAAATACTCCTAGGGTCATTTTAGAGTTGCCAACAGAAAGGGAGGAGGGCGAAAGGGGTTTGAAAGAGCAGTGCGGCAGCTTGGAAAGCTAAAGTGCATTCCATAAATGTTTTCAGAGATTGTAACTAGGTGACTGAAATTTCTGCCATGCAAAATTCTCACCGAAGAGCCTGATTGTTGACTCTGGGCTATGGACGTGTCCCATTGGATAATGTGAATTACGATACGCCCAGGGGTTGGGGGGTGGGGGGGGGAACCAGGGTCAAGGGTGACAATGAATGACGTGTCTCAGAGTCAGCTACACCCAGGCAGTGCCGGACATGTTAACGCCCAATAAATCCTTTGGGAGTGTTGGAAGTTTGGCTCGAGACTCAGGATTTAAATGGGGGGGGGGAACAGCCAGCTGACTCTGAGGCACGTCATTCATGGTCACCCTTGACCCAGGTGTCCCCACCCCCACCCCCTGGGTGAATCCTGACAGTGCTCAGGTAGGAGAGAGAGTTTAAATGGCCCAGGAGATTTGGTGAGTTCTGAAGGGCTGGCCTGGGGGTGGGAGGGGGGCCTCCCTGGGGCGGAGACCCTTGCGGGGCCCTCCTGGCCGGAGCCGAGGGCTGCCCTCACTGGGCGTCCTTCCCTCCTGCAGTGTTAGTGATCGAGTATTACAAGGACACCATCTGGCAAGGACTGGTCTGTTTCGTCATCTCTGTCTTCAGCAGCATCTTCTACTTCAAACTGTACGGGGTGAGTCCTCCTCCTGGCTCTGGCTCGGGACCCCCAGGACGCCCTTCGGTTCCCCTCCAGCCCCATCCGTTGGGGGCTGCGTTGCTCACCGCCCGCTCCAGGTCTTGTGGCCGTTTGGGGCCCAGCCAAGATGGCCCAGGGTTAGGCAGCCTGGGAGTTGCTGGCCCAAAGCTCCGGAGGGACCCGGCTGTTGGGGCAGGGAGCAGCCAGTTGCCTGGACTGCAATTCAGATAACAGAGAATCAGAGTTGGAAGGGATCTTGTAGGTCATCTAGTCCAACCCCGCACCCAAGCGGGAGACCCTACACCATATCTGGCAAATAGCAGTCCAGTCTCTTCTTGAAGGTCTCAAGTGATGGCGCTCCCACAACTTCCAAGGGCAACTTCTGTTCCAGGGATTGATTGTTCTCCCTGTCAGAAAGTTTCCCCTTGTTTCCAGGTTGAATCTCTCCTTCTTCAGTTTCCATCCGTTGTTCCTTGTCTGGCCTTCAGGTGCCTTGGAGAAGAGCTTGACCCCCTTCCTCCTCCTCTCTGGGGCAGCCCCCCAAATATTGGAAGATGCTCTCCTGTCTCCCCTGGTCCTTCTCTTCCCTAGACCAGCCAGGCTCACTTCCTGCAACATTGTCAGTGCTGGAAGGGAGGGGGTTTGTGGGGAGGGGGAGGAGGAGGATTTTGAGGGTCCCTGCACAAGGCAACCCCCTTCCCAGGAAATCCACCTGGTGCTCTCTTCGTTTGTTCGTGAGCTCCTTCCGTCTTGGCTGGACTGAGGTGGGGATCCCTCGCAGGGACCCCGGAGGCCAAGGGTGCCCCTCCCTTCCCTTGCAGGCCCATCAGGACCTGTCGTGTTTCCTCATCCTCAGCATGGCGTCCAGCCTTTGGGTCCTGGTCAGCAACCTCTGCAAACGCCGTCTGATCATCAACCACATCCGCCAGTACTACCAGTTCTACATCAGAGGCATCCTTTGGCAAGAGGGGCCCCTGCACCAGATCTACGTCCGGCTGGTCAGCCAGCGAGATGGTACCAGCCCGGGATAAGGAGGGGCCTGGGGCCCTTGCGTCCCCCCACCCTCCTAGGGCGAGGCCCTTTTCTGAAACTCCCCTGGGACGTCAGCCTTTCCCACCCAACCCCCGTCCCCATCTTGGCTTCCCTTTGGGTCAAGAGTTGGGCAGGAAGTGGCCACTCTGGACTCCAAGTTGTGCCACAAAGTGCCTGGCCGAGGCCTCCAACTCCCCAAAAAGCCAGCCCTAGAAAGAGAGGAAGTTTTGGGGGAATCTAAGGCATCACAACCAAGGAGATGTCTTGGGCCTGCAATACTGAAGTTTGTTTGGGGTCGGGTTTTGCACAACGGGCTCAACTGACCCCTGGAAGACCAAGTACAATGGGCTAAGCTTTGTTAGCAGTTGGATTGTTTCTTCATTTATGGGTGGTTTAATACGAGTCTCCAAGCTTGGGAACTTTAAGGCTTGTGACAGGGGTGGGCTACTGGGGGCTCAGAGAGCCCCCAATAGCCTCAGAAAGACAAGCAGCCAGGCAAAGCTCTTCATAGGCTTAATTGAACTCCTGGGCATTCAGCCAAGAGAATTTCACACCTCATAAAAGTGTTGCAAGCTAGATAAACAATCCACTCAGTGCTTGCCAGGGAGAGCCCTTGAGAAAATCAGATAGCCATTAGCCTCCAAGGGTAATGCAAACAATAAGAATCACCTAACTCACCAGAAACTCCACTGACTCCAAGATCTCTCTCACAGTCACTGCTATTACACTTGGTTTCACCCAGTCTTTTATTTAAGTATTAAATTAAATGCATGAAATAATAAACAACTTTTTGGTATATTATCTTTCTTTAGGTAATTAGGACAAAGAGGTTGAATTGGCCACACCCATCCAGTCACATGACCACCCACCCACCCAGCCATGCCCACCCAGCCAGTCACTACAAAATTTGAAGCCCACCCCTGCTTGTGTATTCCGGGAGCTTTGCTGGCTGGGGAATTCTGGGAGTTGAAGTCCACAAGCCCTAACATTGCCAAGCTTAAAGCCCCCCCCCCCCCCGTTTAGCACATGGCAGGAATCCAGGTTAGCCTGCAAGGCAGCGTATTGTCTAAACCTGGAAAATGAATGAACAGATGAAGTCACTGGCAGGAATGAACTGAAACAGTTTGCTGACCAAAGCATCGCAGCCAGACTCACAAGCTACCTTGAGTCATCAGTCCCAACCACCAGCGGCTGTGGGGTTGTGCGAATCAGTCCAATCCAGAAGCACCCATAGAATCATTTTGGGTGTGTGTGTGTGTGTGTGTGTGTCTATATTTAGTCCCTCTGGTTTCAGCCATGGTTGAAAATTACTCCCACAGTCATCAAGCTGCCACACCTCCAGCCAGTGAAAGGGGCTTGGATGCCTCGGAAGGGTCTTGGTGCCTTTGACCAAGGGCTGGCTGAGAAGACCTTTGCTGGGAAGCATGGAACCACCTGTCAAAGGTCCGGGCCCATCATTTCCCTCTTCCTCTTCCAGCCCATGGAAAGCTCTTCTACAGCCTCATCATCAACGGGTACCGCCTGGAGGTCCTCACCCTGGTCCGTCTGACCAAGAACCATGAGGTGAGAGCTGGGAAGAAGGAGGAGGACCCGGGGGGGGGGGGGGGG